ACTGAAGGAAAAAAAATGGAATGGAGAACACATAATCCAATAGACAAGAGAATTCTTGGAAGTATGTACGAAAAAGAAGAAATGAAACTGAAGTGAAGGCCTGATAGTTCAGCGCATGAAAAAATGTACGGATAGAATGGAAAATGAATCGAAATTAAACTGATAGCCTCAAAGGTCAACAGCAAGAGGAATGAATGCAAGAACAGACAGAAGAAAGCATAGCAGAACTGGAACGAACTTAAAAAGAGATAGAAGGACATAACGGGTGCGGACTAAAAACAGCTTGTCCAATAGAAAGAATTGAAGAACTAACTGTAACATAGGATGGAGTGAAAAGCTTATGGAAGCATAAGAGAAATCAGAAAAATTCGAGCGCGGAATGCTAGAGTTTAGGAAAAGCCTAACAGAAGTCAGGACGAATCCAATGATAAAAACGATTGCTAAAAATTGCACTAATGCACTTTCTTGTGAAGCAAACGTAGCGACACATTTAACATACGTAACGCGATGCTCGTAGATGGTGGAAAGAGTGCAAAAAAAAAAAACGAAATTTTAAGTGAAAAAACAACATAAATACTAGTGACAAGCAGTGGAAAAAATGTAGAAAAAAATGAACTCTCAAGACCAACAACAATGTATATGCGAACTAACGGTGAAACAGTCATCGCAGGCATGATCGCTTGGAAAGATATAAAAAATAAAAGCAAAAAAGAAAAAAAAAAGAGAAAAATGAAAGAAAAATTTCCCTCCTCGAGAAAAACAATTTTCTCAAATCTTTTCCAACAAAAACAGTCAAATGAATTGTATTTAAAAAGTTTCCTTCTTTTACAATGCAACGGAAAAGAAGTCCGGCACTGATCTGTTGCTGCTTCTGTGTGTAAATGCAATAATCATTCAGGCTGTCTGCTGGCTATGTGCTATGTGCGAGAGCATATATGCACACACAGCACAGTGAACGGAGGTATGACTGATGCATTCAAGCTTGAAAAGTTGTAACAACTTCGGAGCAATAAGTAAGAAAAGCTGCTCGATTACTCGGGTTTGACCAAACGAGGATGAATGGCTAGTGAAAAATAAAAACAAAGCAACAAAATAAAACAACCTGTGCCTATAGTTTTCTTTACTTTGCAATAAGAGTGCAAGTTATTCGTGTATACACATATACATACATATAAGTACCTTTATATATATATATATGTACACATAAATACACAAGCATACGGTCAGATAAGCTCTTGAGCATATTTATTGTTAATCAAACTTTTGCTGCATTTGTTGTTGTTGTTGTTGTTGATGTTTTTTAAGAAAGAAAGTTTTCGTTTTTTCTGCTTCTTCTTTTCCTCTGTGCCATTGCATCGAGCAATTTTCATTTATAGTACATATACTTTACACTTGGAATGCTGTTCGTTAAGTATCAAGCGCTTCACTATCACTTGTATTAAGTACATTTCTGTAGTACCTCTTTGACTACCACTACCACCACCACTAACATTACTACCACTACTAATACTACTACTACTACTACTGCCACTACTACTACTATTACCACTACTAAGACGGCTGCTGGAACTAAGAGCTAAAAAAAAAAAAAAAGAAAAAAAAAAACGCATAAGTAATGTAGCAGGAGATAGTGTGTTGAGAGATGATGACTGACTCTAAGATATTGTTGTTCGACTGGTTGGTTTGTTGGTTGGTTGATTGTTTGTT